ACTGCTGCATATTAAAGTGCAGTTGTAAATAAATAAATTTGAAAGTATTTAAATCTAGTTTCTTACGTTTTTTGAAACATTTTGTGTTTATTTTTATTTAGGGAGGCTAAACTTTGTATTTTCTTCTAAAAGATTATTTCTATTGTATTATTTCCCTGAACACTATAACGATTATGATTTACGTTTCTTAAGCGATAATTGCCGTTATAATTTTTATAAATTTTCCTTCTTGTTATTTTGATATATAATACATATAATAAATTCACTAGTTTTCGTAGTACGCTTGAACAATTAATATCATTCAATTAATTAAGGTTTTTAGTTGAAAAAAAAAGTCAGTGTCACGAGCGGGATTCGAACCCACGATCTTCGGCTAGATAAGCCGCTGCTCTACCATTGAGTTATAGTGAATACGAGCGGCGTATTAAGCCGAAGGTTGTGGGTTCGAATCCCGCTCGTGACACTGACTTTTTTTTCTCAACTAAAAACCTTAATTAATTGAACATATAATAAATTTTAATATTTTTATAGCTATTTTCACGACATTTCGGAAAAGTAATATTTTACTGCACAACAGTTATATAATAGTAACGTTTAAAAATTATTTCCTTTTCTTACGTAGAACAATAAATCGATCGACATTATCAACTGATGCTGGTGTTCCGTAAGTGATTTTTATCAAATGCTTGTGTGGCAGGCGTATCAATCGACTTTGCATTTGCTTTAAATATGTTATAGATATTTTCACATCTTCTTCTATTATTTTCAGTTAAAAAAACTGTAACGGTGAGTATAGAGAAATTTTGATTTCTCTATTCACTTTATCCCAATCCAAACATAAAGAAAACTAGGAAAACGTATGTATTTAGGCGGGCTAAAAACAATTTCTTCATGAATGATTTTTAGAGTGTGAATGAAAAAAAAGGAACGGAAAACGGAAGGAAAGGAAATATCGTCCATTAAACCGTACTGCGATGATCTGCGTGCTTTGGAATTCATTAATAATTAACGATTCATACATCGGACGGTTTACTTTTCGAGTAACAACGTTCCGTCGCCGGATAATAAACTTAGAACAAACTTTTGCCTTCGACGTAAATTTAAAATTTTCCAGTCAAAATGTAGCACGGCTTAGAAATAAAATTAAGTAATGTAGCCCACTTTGAATTGAAATAATGGAGGAAACCTTCCTAATTACTTTTATAACTGCCTGAAATGAAACAGCTTGCTCTTCTAAAAACTTTTTTATTTAACACATTGTGTAAGAAATGTTTTGTTTGTTAGAAATTATGTGTGTATAATTACGACCATTTTTTCTTGAAAGATCTGTCTTCCCAGATAAATTTAAGACAAGGTTTCGCTAAATTCCTTTCAATTAATTAAGGTTTTTAGTTTATATAAAAAAGTCAGTGTCACGAGCGGGATTCGAACCCACGACCTTCGGCTAGATACGCCGCTCGTATTCACTATAACTCAATGGTAGAGCAGCAATTATTTCCCTGAACACTATAACGATTATGATTTACGTTTCTTAAGCGATAATTGCCGTTATAATTTTTATAAATTTTCCTTCTTGTTATTTTGATATAAAATACTTATAATAAAATCACTAGTTTTCGTAGTACGCTTGACCAATTAATATCATTCAATTAATTAAGGTTTTTAGTTGAGAAAAAAAGTCAGTGTCACGAGCGGGATTCGAACCCACGACCTTCGGCTAGATACGCCGCTGCTCTACCACTTGAGCTATCGTGACTTCGATCCACTCGGACACTAACTTCCCATCTCAACCCCACCTTTTGAATTTTCCATCCATTTTGCCATTTTTCAGTTTCGCTAAATGTATAATGCAAATCCTACCATCCATGCTCCTTGGTTTTCGAAAGACTGAATTGTTCGTAAGCTGGGTCTTGCTCGCACCAGAAAGTACCAAAGAAAAGAAGCATTATTTTTGTTAGTAAACTTTTCCATACTTGTACAGATCATTCTGCAGATCTATAATCTTTTTTTTTACTTTCCTCCTGCAGAGTTTAGTTTCTCTGAAGTAACACAACTCTGATAGCATCGGGTATTTCTTCTCGCAAAGAATATATTTTTATAAAAATTTATTTTTTCTGTTATCCAAGTACTGTTTCCAAGTCTTTTGACCCTTTTATCCGCTGAAAATATCTGATAATTTTCTTCCTGGAGTTTTATTTTTATTTTTATCGGTTCATAATTTACTGGGGGTAGATCAGAGATGTTGACTAATGAACAACCCTTTTATAAGTTTGCTTTTACAAGATAATTAACGATGATTGTCTAAGAGATAATTAAAAATATTAAAATTGGCCCGTTTTTTGCCTCTTAGGATACATCCTTATTCATCATTTACTGGCGAATTCGAGATATGCAGATTCTATTGTCTTGATTAATAACAAAAAAATTGCAATAATCACGAATCGATGGATTTTTACAATATTGCTTGTACTTTTTATTAATAAAATCAACTTCTAATAAATTCTCACACTACAATATAACGAAAATAAAATTCCGCTTTTTTATTGAGATGGATTAAACTACTAACTAGATAGACAATTTATCGGCGATTGATATAATTAATCTCCTATTATCCTCGTTGTTGTCTATTGTGCGATCTTGCTAATCTGGAAAGTCCTATTGACGAACGGTATGAAGTGGGTTTACGTGAATAACTTGCGTGTATTGATTTGAATATATTTACTATTATGTGCACTGTACGAGCAAGGACAAAATATAAATCTACTATAAAATCGCGACTTTATTTGTGTATTAATAATTTATTCAGTTTATGGCATTAATTGTTATTTTGAAAGACTTGTTTCTATTTTTCTTTACTTCTATAATTTGGTACCTTTAAAATATATAACAACAAAGTATGTCCAGGCTCTCCCCTCCATGGTAGAGGCAGGAAAGCGAGGACGGATAGTTCAGTCTAGCCTAGGCATCGGAAGAAAAAACAAAAGAAAAAATTCAGCTGAAAGGCAGTCAAATCAGATTTGTATCTATTTTGATTTTTATTTATATAAATCATTTCTGTTGTGTGGCCCATTTTCATTTATGGTTTTGTTTTTTGGTAAATTTTTCTTTTGGTTATCAAGGTTGATTGTTTTAATTTTGCCCTTCAGGCCCACATTATTAATTCCCATAGTATCTAATTATTCTTATATTGTTAGCTTGTAAGCAAAAGTTCATTCTTTGTTTGTTTTATTTTTTTTATATAAGGTATCTTAATTCTTCAGGAAATACATTTTTTATTTTTAAAGAAACAATATAGAGGTGTCACTCTACAATTGTGTTTTTAATTTATTTCCAAATAAGATTCCTTTGATTTTGAGGCCTCAAGGGGGCTAATCATACCGTAAAAGACGGAATATAATCATTCCTTAAAAGGACCCCCCCGTAAATACTATCGTTGCTTTTCAATCAATTTAATCTTCTTTTGGTTTTGTGGGTATTGGTGGCCGCAACGGTTTAGGCGTTGACACGGCGCTCATCACTGTAAGATAAAGGACCCGGGTTCGAATCCAACAACCCCGAAATATTCAATTCAAACCCGACATACTTACAAACGGGCTTTTTCTCAAAAACATCGGCACTCCGAGGGTTCATATAACCTCGTAGTTGTAATACCCTCGTTAAAAAAATCTTTTGACAAATTGATAACTGGACGTGGTGGGCATATCATCTGACTTGATAATGGGCTACTTTGACAGGATCACTTTCCATCAATTTCCTAGAAATTACAAAATAATACGTTATCCGGTTGATATAATACATATATGCTTTATAGACCATTGGTCCGTTTAATGGCGACAAACCGATCAAACTACTGAAACTGCTATCTCTTCACAAAGGTTCGTTCGTGTTGGAGAACTACATTCTATTTGATTTGAATCCACGAAAGCGTGACAATTCTCGACGATTGGAGCCTTAGAGATCGAAGTTTATATTGCAGATACAATAAAAATACACTTGTGAAACACTGCTGTGATCAATGTTCAATCAAAACAAAATTTGAAATACAATTTATTAATATCTGAGGGAAATCATTTGAGAAAATATCTATCGCCTGGAATGGTGGAAAAAATAAACAAATTGTTTAACTTCACTAATTTCGTGGTCCGCTTGACCAATTAAAAAAATGGCAAAAAGGAGGGAAAATTCAAAAGGTGCGGTTTTATTTTTTTATTACTGAAATTCTGACTTTTAAATTTTTCTCAGACTGGCCCGTATATATAAAAATATTTATATGATAAAATGTTTGATTTATCATTAATGAATATTTATTTATTTAATTAGTAACATTTTAACGTGTAAATGTGATTTCTAAAGTTCTTTAGCATGTTAATAACTTACAAAATATAGATTCAAAGATACTTCAATTTTTTGATGTTTTTCTCATCGTAGAAGTAATATTTACTTATCTAAATTGAACTCAACAAATATTTAATGAAAACTAATGAATAATTAAAATACTAACTGGATTATTATTAATTTTTGATAGTATAATGAAAATGTAATATTGTGGAAATCCTCCACCGGTAAGAGAGAGTACAGCATTTTTATTCTAATATAAAAAAATGCTACTGGGGTAAATTAAATATAAAATATGTTTGTGAAAGCATGTTATTTTCAACGTATTTTTAACTGAGTTTTTGTCCGACGTCAATTGTTCGAGTAAGTGTATTTTCTTTTTTGATATCTCTTTGATCTCGCTTCTGGGGAAGAGGTCTAACGTACGTTTTATTTTAAAATCGTAATTCTTTATAAAATGAAATAGCTTCATAGGTGTGAATATTCAGAGGGAGTTGGTTTTGATCTCTGTTCTGGTACTTTTTAAACGTTCTCTCAACAATTTTGGCTTAATGTTGAAGTCAACCGGGTGGGGGTGGACTCGGGTAGGGGGTTGATTCTGGGATGAGTTTCGGAAGCTCACCTACCGGCACTCGTGCGCCGTACCTCGGCTTGTAAGGGTCGTCATGAATCTGTCCGATTCGAACTTCAGCGACTGCGAGTCCGATCTTTCCGACCCGGACTTTTTTTCCTACCGATATCGTGCGATCGGCACGTTTTTCCAGGGGATCATCTTCGTCGTGGGCGTCCTCGGGAACGCCATGGTCGTCCTCGTCGTCTCCAGGGTGAGGGCGTTGCATTCTCCGACGAACTGTTACTTGGTGAGCCTTGCGATCGCGGACTCCGTCGTCCTCGTCGCCTCGGTCCCGAACGAAATATTGAGCTATTATTTGGTAGGAAATCAGTGGGTTTGGGGCGACGTCGGTTGTTCTCTGTTTATCTTCTGCCAGAATCTGGGCATAAACGCTTCTTCATTGAGTTTGGTCGCGTTTACGGTCGAGCGTTACATCGCCATATGCCATCCGATGACGGCCCATAAAATGTGCACCACGGGCAGGGCGAAGAAGATCACGTTGGCCGTCTGGTTGACCGCGACCGTGTACTGTTCGCCGTGGCTCGCTCTAACAGTGACCAGGCCCTTGAAATACCGGGGCTACCCAGATGCCAGGGAGTGCGTTTTTCGCTGGCCGCGTAACCAATATCTCATTGTGTTCTTTACGGACCTTGTCATGTTTTACGTAATCCCTCTCGTATTATCGTGCATTCTCTACTGTCTGATAAGTTTGACGATCGTGAATCGAAAAGTCGTCTCGGCCGAGGGTAATAAACGGCCGAAAATGTTGCTGGACAGCACGAATACCCATTCGAAAACCAAGGTAAGTCTAATTATTTAGAAATGACTTTTAGGTAATAATCCCTCTGAAACGTCAAGTTGTTGTTTAAACAGAGTTGGTTTAAAAGATATATAAATTCTGGCGGATTTTTTAAAATTCATTCTCTCTCTATACCTGCTCTGAATTTTACCTCGGGAATCACGAAAGTAACGTGAACCCTGGAAATCTGATCTACAGCCTGTCAGAAAATTCCCAAGTAATACTTAATTCCAAATTCTATAAAGATTTTCCTATAAATAAGTCCCAATCGAAAAAAATAAATAACATTTCTGGAAAAGAGATTGTTAATTACACGCTAGTCAACGACGAATCTGAATGCTATTTGTCAAATTTACAAAGGTTTTGTTGAAGAATTTAGCATACCATTAGTGACAAATATTTGTTGATTGATTTCAAGCCGTACAGTATAACATAAGGTAAAAAAATCCTGTTAAAATGAGTTTAAATAGTACAATTTGATATCCATCTTCGATAAACAATTGTTGGCCAATTTAAATTTTAAAGATTTATATTTTTTCAGTGACACCGTACAGTTATTTTAGTATACAACGTAAATTTGAATTTTGTGATCATAATTCCATGAAAATTAATTATATTCGGGAGAGCACATTGACAGCCGACGATTAAATAATTAACGCCTTCATTGAATAACTGCTAACATTATTTACCTTTTTTATTATATGAATGGTAATAGAACTTACAATCGGTTCAGTTAAAATAATTAAAAACATTAAATAATCAAAATTACATACTGTTTATCTATTACAATTTTTTACTATTGTACAAATTAAATCGTTTTGATTAATGTAAATAGGAAAATACAATCTTTTATATGATTTATTTAATATTGAAACTATTTTCTGTATAAAAGAAACAAAGCTATAGAATGTGTGTTACTTTTATTAAAAAATACATTCAAATAAAATTCGTTCCAGTTTACTCACCAAACAATATTTCCTGAATTAAAGCCTTAAAAAACCCCATTACTATAGGAAAAACTCTTTTTAATACAGATATTTTTACTGTTTACAATCTATATTATATATACGATATCTGCCTGGAAATAATGTGTATACGAACATTCTGAGGTCGAAAAAGCTTATTTTTTGAAAGGGAAAATGAGATGTACAAGGAGAATATATTATCCCTCGCAAGAGCGTAGCGGATAGCGAATAAAAGCGTTGGGCTTTTCAAAACTTTTATCCGAAAATGAATTTAATGCAAACGATGTACACATCCTTTCAATGAGATCAAACAAAAACCGCTTCCAAAACTTACTCAAAACGAAAATAGGCAAAAAATTAAGAAAAATAACTGATCGATAGTTCAATAAAGTGATGGTTCATTTGAAATAATTTAGAAACTAGCAAATAGTGTAAGAAAAAAAATAGATAGAAAAAAATAGAAAAAGCATAGATATAATATTACTTTATAATAATTAATTATTTAAATTACATGTACTAACCATAATAAAAAAAACGAAACATCAACTTTGTATTATGGAACTTTTTGCAAAAAAATTAACATATTAAGGTGGATTGAAAGTTATCATTAATTTATGTGTTAATTAATTTGTTTACTCGCGAGCTGGCAATTTTGATTGCTTTGTTCTTGACAAATTCTAATATAACACTTGAAATTAATTTTCTTAGAAAAAAATGGTGAACATCAAAGCTATTTGAAAGTTGCATACCATCATCGACAAAGCAAACTAAAAAAAATAATTTCAACATAAGTTTATCTATTAATTATAAAATTTAATGATGAAAGCTATATATATACTAAAACATATTACACATATACATGATATTGCATTTTAAGATTAATTACCTAGTACGATTATCGTAAAATTTACCTGTCTTGTGTTTACAAACAAAAACAATGAACGTGTGAAAAATTATTACAGATATTTGATGAAATAACTTTTACTGTCCGCAAACAGTTAGACCCAGGGGCATTAAATCGTCTGTAGCAGTTAATTCACAGTTTAATCAAGCTCGCTCCACAAAGCATTTAAAAATAAACTTTTTTAAAAGCTTATTTCAGGAACGGTTCAAAACTTTTATCACAGCCTCGAATAATGGGGGGTTATTTATTTTTGGGACTGTTGACCTTTATATACTTTTATATTAAAACTTTTGTTTATGGTTCAATTTACATTTATTGAAATTGACGTGTTAAATCTCATTAAAAGCGATTTGGACAGTATTAAATAAACGATTGAAGTTAAAATAAAGACCAGTGTTAGTAAATAATTGACGAAGATGACCGACATCGCACATAGTACGCTGTTTAAATATTTAATTAATGCAGTGTGTCCTGTTTAGATGGCCCGACTGAAATTCTCTTGAACGGGAACGTTATCGTAAAACCAAAAAATTCGTATTTAATTTTTTTTTATTTAGTTTTAAATGTTTCCTGATTTTTAAAATATTTCTTGCTAGGGTACTTCAGAATCAGTACAACTTGTAAAATTTTAAATGAGAACGTATACATTTTTACCCACCATTAAAAAATTACACTAACAACGATGGCTCAGTTTTAAATTGGTCAAAGAATAACAAAGTTAATGCACAGAAAGTTTGAACAAGCCTCTTATTTTCGTTTTTATTATTATTTTAAATAAAAAATTTGTTTGGTGATTTTAATAAAAATTATATGCTTTGATTTTAAATAGGCCATTTTTGATAATAAAGTCACGTACAAAACATAACAATACATACCATACATAATACATACTGTTTTGGTGCTAGTCAATTTTCCGATTTTCCTGGGATGATGTTGATGTATTGCTAGTTGGTACGCACGTTTTTGTTTAATAAAAGTGAACAACAAACAGGAACAAAGATATGTTCGAAAAACACATCAATATCATTCCAAGAAATTCGTAAAACCGACTAGCAACAAAACAGCAAATGATAACAATGTGCAAACTAAATTAAGATATTTCTATTAACATTCGTCCCATACCGTTGTTATTATTTCACCAATTCAAAATCTGATTGCGCAACGGTTTTCAGAGGAAATAATTCATTAAAACAATCGGTAAAAACTTATACGTTTTTATTTAAAATTTCAAGCTTATTTCGGCTTTGAATATGACCAATGTTTAAAAAAAGTAGTACAATTTTAAAACTAAGGTAATAAATATAAAACACGTATTTTTTGGTTTAACGATAAGGTTATCTGCTCAGGAGAAATTCAGCCGAGCCATCTAAAAAGCACACCATGTAGGGCTTTTCAGTTTTTTCTTCTAACAAAAGCCGACATTACAGTATTTACGTGCACCTAAAAAAATTATTTCTCTCATTATTAAAACGTACAGCTTTGCTGCTTTTCCATGAATTTTACCTTCGGTTTCTAAATTACCAGCTAGAAAATAATCAATAAATTAATAATAAATTCTTATTAATTAATATATAATTATGACTTTCATATAATAAACAACTGAACGGCCATCGTTGTAAATTATTAACCGTGTTGCAATTTTCATTTTTGAGTTATATATTTAATTTTAAGGCTCATATGGCCTCCTAATTTAATGAAGTAAGTTTTTTTTAAAATAATTTAAAGGCTGAAACCTTATTGGTCATTAAGCCTTGAGTCTGTACAAGTTAACGGCGCAGCTCGGCCCCCTCAGAGCGAGGCCCCCGCAGACCCCGGCGCAGTGGCAGCCCCAGGCCTAGAAAGAACGGAACCCCACGGATCTCTCGCAACTGATGCTTTTAGTCTTAATATTGCGCGCAGGACTTTATCGAGGAGGGGTCGGTGTCTAGTCACCATCGACACCTCCTCTAAGCTCGCTGGAGATTCCTTGACCTCAGAGTCCGGTGAGGCACCCCTCAATCTAGCCCAAGACCGACCAGCACCCGAGGCACCGCACGGGCGTCGCCAGAAGTCAGCCGCACCACACCGCCAACTTGGGGAACCAGCAAAGGAAACAAGAGTTGAGGGGATGGGATATCAGATTTTATCAATTAGTTGGATGTCTGTTAAGAAGTTAAAAATTTTGTTTATTGATGTTGAGAAGTTGCTTAGTATGGATTGGAGGTCTTTGGGAATCTGATGGAGGGATCTTTTAGAAGTAAGTTTGAAATATGTGATGGATCAGTGAATGTAAGGAGATAGAAACAATGAGCTATTAACCATTATTCAATCCTATTGGTTTAGCAATAGATTAACCTCATTTTAGTACAGGGTAACAAGAATAAGAAATTGAATAACTTTCTACGAAGTTTGCAGTACTGGGGAAATTACTAATACATGATATCAAAAGATTTCTCTAGTTTTCGTGGTCCGCTTGACCAATTAATATCCTTCAATTAATTAACGTTTTTAGTTGAGATAAAAAGTCAGTGTCAAGATTAGAGTTAGTGTCCGAGGTCACGATAGCTCATGTGGAAGAGCAGCGGCGTATCACGCCGTAGATCGTGGGTTCGAATCCCGCTCGTGACACTGACTTTTTTATCTCAACTAAAAACCTTAATTATTTGAAAAATTGAATAACTTTCTACAAAGATGGCAGTACTGGGAAAATTACACGTTCACATTATCAAAAGAGGTGACAATATGTACGTTGCTCTATCTAGTGATAAAATTGTATGGTATCATGTATACCAGATGATTCAAAACGATTAAGCTTACATAAGGAAGTGCTAGCCATTAAAACAATAAACAATTGCCAATATTGCAATTACCACAATTACACGCAAAGTATTTTGACAAGGATGACAATTTTTACTTAAACAAGCATTATTTGGAAGAATATGTAAACAAAGGAATAACACGAATGAGTTATGAGACTTCGAATGATATTTTTTAAATAAATTTGAGTGGAGTAGAAAAAATATTTTTTAATTGTACATTTCCCAAATTTATTTAGGTAATTATATATTTTTTGTGTGATGAGAGGGACAGGTCACCGCTATCAAGGTTGTAGTAATACTACCGACATGCTGCGACCCCTCTATTATGAATGTATT